CCAAAACTCCAGTCTGTCCTATAAAAACTCACACTTAGAGGCTTTAGTCAGTAGGCGGTTCTCACTCAGCATTTTAAAACCGGCTTCGATGTCCCGTAGGTGCTGTGCTTTGTCTGGGCTGTAAATCAGTACATCGTCTAAGTAAACGATGACGCACTTATCTAAGAGCGGGCAGAAGGCTTCGTTCATGGTCATTTGGAAAGTGGCGGGGGCGTTGGTTAGTCCGAAGGGCATGACGGTGTATTTGAAGGATCCGTAGCGTGTTCGGAAGGCTGTTTTTGAGCAGTTGGGTGGGTTGACTCGGATCTGGTGGTATCCTCCACGAAGGTCGATTTTCGAGAAAACCCGGGCTATGTGCAGTTGGTCGATCAGTTCGTCGGCTCGTGGGATGGGGTAACGGGATTTGATAGAAACCCTGTTCAGTGCTCTGTAGTCTATGCACATGCGAAACCCCCCGTCTTTCTTCGGTGTGAACAGTATCGGCGCTGCGAAGGGGGACGAACTCGGGCGAATGAACTCCTTTTCGAGCAGGTAATCCAACTGCTTCCTCTGTTCGTCCAGTTCGGGTTGGGTAAGTCGGAAATGTCGCTGTACTGTCGGCTGTGCCCCCAGTTCTAACTCTATCCTGTGGTCGTGTGGTCGCTGAGGTGGCAGTCCCGTCGGCAGGTCATCCGGAAATATCCCACTGTACCGCTTCAGGAGTGCTGCCAGATCATCCGGTACGCCGACTAGCAGTTTTTGTAAATCCCCCACTTTGTCCACTTCCTCGGCTTCCCAAATGTCAACCGCGTACACGTCAGCTCCTACCGCTACGGCACGTTTCATCGTAATCGCGTTGACGTGCACTGACGAAGACCCAGGCGAGCCCCAGCGAGGTAAGGCGGCGATGTTGTCACCGTTCACTCACACAGTGCATTCACCCGTCGTCCAGTCTATGCGCGGGTTTTGTCATCGCAGCCAATCATGACCGAGTAAAATGTCGGTTCCGTCGAGGGTTGTCGCGAGCATTTCCTGACTAAACTTGAACCCCCACATCGAATCCGAACCTGGTCCACGCGTTCCCGTATCGCCAGTGGCATGTCGTCAACCAGTCTTGCTCGATCTCAGGTAAATATCTATCCAGTGGCAGTCTCGGTTTTCGTGCTGTGGCAGTGTTGATCAGGTTGTGGCTGGCTCCCTCGTCTTTGAATATTTTAACTAAGTCCGTTCCGATTTTCCCACTAAGCAGTATGGGGCTGTCTACCGTAGTACCCTTCTTATTCGGCCGGGTGTGCTCGATTGCATGAACCGGCACAATCACTCGGTGAGGGTCGGTTGGGTCGGGCGAGCGGCGTAACCTGTCAGTAGAGGGCCCTTCTCCTACTGACTCCGAGCGTTTCCCTGCTGCTTGGTCTGTTTCTGCTGCACTGCTTCCCCCTTTCCCTTAGCGTTTTCCGGGCATTCGCTCTTACAGTGTCCCGTCCGATTGCACGCGAAGCAGAGCCCTTTGAACCGTGGGGCAGCGGCATTCGCGGCGACGACACGTATCGTAGCGCCCTCGTTCGTCCCACGAGGCCGATGTCCCCAGTTACTGCTTCCGTAGGACCCCGGTCTCGGTCGGCGGAAAAAGTCGAGCTTCTCCTTCATGGCAAGAATCTCCTGAAAATTAATGATGCCGCGAAGCTGGATTTCCTGAGCTATGTCGTGCTTCAGGCCGCCGATTTAGTGGTCGATACGCTCGCCCTTGTGCATATAACCCACTTGCTCGTATAGCACCAAAAACCTGTGTCAGAATGTTATTATTGTCTAGCCTGCAGTGGGGTACTCTATAGTGAGTTCAACCCAATTAGGGTTTCCTATGTGTATGCCAACTGCTGCTAGTGCAAACCCCTCCTTTCTTCATTCTTGTTTCTGACTGCTAGTTCTGACATGCTATCAGAGCAAGTCGACCCTCCTGGGTCGATCCTGTGGGTGGGCCCCACCCGATGCTTCCGCTGCTCTACTGCTGTCGCGCGCCCCGGGCGCGCGACCCTTTCTTCCTGCCGCGCGCTCGGAGCGTGCGGCGTTTTTCATCCCGCCGTGCGCTCGGGGCGTGCGGCGGTTTTCTGCCCGCCATGCGCTCGGGACGCGTGGCGGTTTCCTGCCCGCCGCGCACCCTGGGCGCGCGCGGCGGTTTCACGTTCCGTCGACCCGCGCGCGCGTCCTCGTCAACCTGCGCGCGGCTCCCCGTCGCCCTTCGCGGCGACCCCGTCGACTTGCGCGCGGCTCCCCGTCACCCTTCGCGGCGGCCCCGTCAACCCGCGCGCGGCTCCCCGTCGCCCTTCGCGGCGGCCCGGTCGACCCACGCGCAGCTCCCCGTCGCCCTTCGCGGCGGCCCCGTCGACCTGCGCGCGGCTCCCCGTCGCCCTTCGCGGCGGCCCCGTCGACCCGCGCGCCGCCCCCGGGGACCCGTGCGCCCGTCCCCGTCGACCCGCGCGTCGCCCTGTGGCCCCCCTCCACACACACCTGAGTTTGCTTACCGCACACCCAAGTTCGCTTCCCGCACGCTTGTGCACGCTTCGCGCACACCTGAGCTCGCTTACCGCACACTCAGGGTATGGGGGTGACGGGTATGGGGGTGGCGGGTGTGTGAGCCGTCCCTTGCTCCTCCTCCTCCTCTGTCTCCCACTGCTGCAGCTGCCGCTGAGGGGGGTGGGTATGTGGGAGACGAAGGAGTGGTGCTAGGGGGGTGAGGAGGGAGTGGAGCTAGGGGTACAGCAAGGGGTGTGTGAAAGAGGGGTGTGGGACAGTTGGGGGAGGTTGCGTGGAGGCTGCCGTCGTGTCGCCTGCAGCGCCAGTAGTCCGGAGCCTGTCTTGCTCTCGGTAGCCCAGCGAGCCTGCTGTGCCTGTTGCCCGTGGGTCCGTTGCTCTTGCCGCTCGTCGTAGCCGTGGAGCCAGTTACTCCTGTAGTCCGGAGCCTGTCTTGCTCTCGGTAGCCACTGTGCCAGCCGCTCCTGTTGCCCGTGTGTCTGCAGCTTCAGCCGTTGCCTCCCATCTCCTCTCCTCTCACAGTCCAGCCTCCTCCTCCTCACGTGCCCGTTGTGAATGCCTCTAGCTGTGCTTGCCCTTGTGAACCTGCTCTATGACTGCTTGCTCTGCTGATTATACCCCACTTTGACTATGGGGGTGTGTCAGAATGTTATTATTGTCTAGCCTGCAGTGGGGTACTCTATAGCGAGTTCAACCCAATTAGGGTTTCCTATATGTATGCCAACTGCTGCTAGTGCAAACCCCTCCTTTCTTCATTCTTGTTTCTGACTGCTAGTTCTGACAACCTGCTGGTGTAATCTTGGACGGAACCGAGTTGGCGCCAAGTGCGGAACTTCTGACGCGCCGCGATCGAAGCCGCAATTGGCTCAAATCGAGCGCGCAGCCCTGCGCACCACGCGTCCCACGTGCGGTATTGGGGCACCTCCGTGAAATACGACGGCGCCCAGGGTCCGGTTTGTCCTTCCCGTGTCGGTAGAGTCGCATAGTCATTCGGCTTCGTGACAATGACACGCTACCAGTCCATGGCGGGTCCTCGCAGCAGCGACATGGCGTAGCGAATTTTCGCCGCATCCTCCGAGACGTAGTTGGCGTCGAAAAACACGTTCATCGTGAACAACCACGCCTGAACGGCAGGACCACCCCGTTGACTTGGGTCGAAGCATGGCGGACGCTGCGGCTTCAGCGGCATCGGTGACGGCAGTGCCGAATTGTTGATCGGTGCCGAAATCGTAACGCATGGCTGGCTTCGGGCCGCATTCGTCGCCTCGGGGTGTGTCGCGCCGTGGTCGTCGTCTCCGTCGTGGCGGACGACGCCATCACTAGCCGCGCTCGCGGGTTGCCCACGCTCCCGTGTTGTGATGTCTGTTGTGCGGGCTGTACCGGAGTGCCGGATGCTTGAGATTGTGCTTGTTGTGCTCGTGCGACGTCATTTTGCATGGACGTGTGTTCTGCCGTCAGCTCCGCGATTTCTTCAGAGTTTTCGCGAAGTTGCCGCAGCAGTTTGCTCAGGTGCTCCTGCGTGAGGGTGGTGACGTCGATGTGCTCGGCCATTACGAAGGGTGTCGGCTCGTCTTAGTCTAGGCGCAGTCGTGGCTGTACGCGTTTACGAGAGAACGCGAGGACAGCGGCTCAAAGGGGCTAAGGTGCGTGAGTCCTTTCGAGTGAAAAATCAAAAGTTGATTTCCTGGGGTGTGAAGATGCGCGGTCCGAAAGAAAGAGGCTCTTAATAACAAGTGTTACGGGTGCAATGAATCGAGGTAGCGAGGATTGTACTAAGTGTCAAACGAGTACAAAATGTGAGCGAAGGCATGAGCGAACATTTATACGCGAAACATGCAAACGGTAACGCGGTGCGTGCGAGCTAGCTAGTGCTACGCTGGCAACGAGGCTCGGGCTAGTCCTGAAGCGTAGGCCGACACGGCTGGGCCAGCGGTGCATGGTTTGGTGAAACAGTGCGCGCGAAGTTGACGAAGCCACGTTGGTGATGCTGCAGGATGCGCTAAGGAATGTCGAGAAAATTCCTTACAAACATACAGTTGTTCGAATTTGGGCTTCCCAGCCCCAACGTGACACGCCCTTACGCATATTCTCTAGCATCGCATATTCGTTGAACAAGACCGTCGCTAGTCAGTTACGTTTCGCTTCCTTACACCATGGCAGGTCCGTCGGGTAAACGTAAGTACGAGGGCGAAGTGAAGGAAACCGCCGACGCCGCCGCCACCGTTGGTGCTGCTACTGGTGACGGGTCTAACAGACAGGAACAACCGCAATCGACACCCGAATCAAATCTAGGATCGAATCCGAATCCAGGATTAAATTCGGACGGGAAGCCCGCAGATTCAAAGGCTAAGAAATCATCTCCAATCGAGCCGCAGCCAGCAAAGCAGACCGAAAAGACATGTGTCCATGACGTGGCGCTTCCTCCGAATTTCACGTCTTCTCTCGACCAATCAGTGCACGGGACGATCGACTCGCCGGTTTACAATGGCCCGATGGCGAAAACATACCCGTTTGAGTTGGACCCGTTTCAAGCAACCTCGGTAGCGTGCTTGGAGCGGCGCGAGTCCGTGCTCGTGGCAGCGCACACGTCGGCGGGAAAGACTGCCGTTGCGGAGTATGCAATCGCGATGGCGTTTCGCGACAAGCAGAGGGTCATTTACACGTCCCCTCTCAAGGTAGGTCGTTTCTAAGGTTGGTTGGCTCCTTAGTAAACGTAAATCGCCGCTGTTTTCTAAGAGAAGAAGGGTGCTTGTGACCTTGTTGCAGTTCTGACATTGGGTTTGATGCTTTTGTTTCCAGGTTTGAGGGTAGAAAGTTGAGGGAGTTTGAGTTTGAGGTTTTTGGGTTGAGGGTTGAGGGGCTTACGGTGGTAAACAGGTCGGCCCCGTCTTTCCCTGTTCATTCCCCTCTTTGTTCTCCCCACCCTTCTCCACCCCAATTCCTTCTCCACTTTGGAAACCCAGGAACCAAGTCGAGCCCCTCTGCCCTCCTCCCCCCCTCCCCACATACACTGCAGGCTCTGAGCAACCAGAAGTACCGCGAGCTGAGCGAGGAGTTCAGTGACGTGGGGCTGATGACGGGTGATGTCACCATCGCCCCCAACGCAGCCTGCATCGTCATGACCACCGAAATTCTTCGTTCCATGCTCTACCGAGGCTCAGAAGTGCTTCGGGAGGTGGCTTGGGTGATATTCGACGAGATTCACTACATGCGGGACCGGGAACGGGGCGTGGTGTGGGAAGAGAGTATTATTTTCCTTCCTCCGGGTGTGAAAATGGTGTTTTTGTCGGCTACGCTGTCGAACGCGCGGGAGTTTGTCGAGTGGATTACGTATCTGCATAAGCAGCCGTGTCACGTGGTGTATACGGATTACCGGCCGACTCCCTTGCAGCATTTTGCGTTTCCGTATGGCGGGGATGGGCTTTATCTTATGGTGAACGAGCAGGGGAAGTTCATTGAGAAGAATTTCAACCGCTTAGCTAAGAGTTTCGCTAAAGCGAAAGAGGCGGCGGCGGAGGCGATTCCAGAAGCTGCTGGGTTTGCTGGGAGAGGGAGAGGGAGGGGGGGGAGGGGAGGGAGAGGAGGAAGAGGAGGGAGAGGAGGGGAAGGAGGGAGAGGTGCAGGCGGAGGGCCTTCGGATATCTACAAGATAGTGAAGGTGAGTCTTTCCTCTCTTCTCTTCTCTTCCCACCCTCTTCTCCTTTCTCCCCTTCTCCCCTTCTCCCACTTATTCTCCTTCTTTGTTTTCCGGACCTGTTCCGAGCCGGGCTTCCATCCCGTAATCCTCTTAAGCTTCCGCTGTTTCTTGCCCTCCACCTTTTTTTCCTCTCCTCTCCACTCCCCTCCTCTCCTCTCCTCTCCTCTCCTCTCCTCTCCTCTCCTGTCCTCTCCTGTCCTCTCCTCTCCTCGCCATCGCTCCCCCTAGCATCCCTTGCCAGACCTGTTCCGAGCTGATCCTCTTCAGCTTCCCTACCCTCACTCTCTCTCCACCCTCTCCACTCTTGAACCTGAACCCCTCCCCTCTCTTGAACCTGAACCCCTCCCCTCTCTTGAGCCTGAACCCCTCCCCTCTCTTGAACCTGAACCCCTCCCCTCTCTTGCCAGACCTGTTCCGAGCTGGACTTCCATCCAATGATCGTCTTCAGCTTCCGCCGGCGCGAGTGTGAGGCGTACGCCATGCAGCTGAGCAAGCTGGACTTCAACAGCGAGGAGGAGAGCAAGATGGTGAAAGAGGTGAGGAGCGGTGCGAGAGGGTGAGGAGGGGTGGAAAGTGCTGGGGAGTTGTGCTGGCAGGTCTTAGGTTGGACTGGTTAGTTGGAGAGGGGGCAGTGAACAGGAATGGAGTGCGGCGAGTGTGAGGCGTACGCCGTGCTGTGCAGCTGAGGTAGCTGGACTCAAACAGTGAGGAGGAGAGCAAGATGGTGAAAGAGGTGAGGAGCGGTGCAAGGAGTTGAGGAGTGGGGTGAGCTAGACATGGGCAGCTAGACATGGGCAGCTAGACATGGGCAGCTAGACATGGGCAGCTAGACATGGGCAGCTAGACATGGGCAGCTAGACATGGGCAGCTAGACATGGGCAGCTAGACATGGGCAGCTAGACATGGGCAGCTAGACATGGGCAGCTAGACATGGGCAGCTAGACATGGGCAGCTAGACATGGGCAGCTAGACATGGGCAGCTAGACATGGGCAGCTAGACATGGGCAGCTAGACATGGGCAGCTAGACATGGGCAGCTAGACATGGGCAACTAGACATGGGCAGCTAGACATGGGCAGCTAGACATGGGCAGCTAGACATGGGCAGCTAGACATGGGCAGATAGACATGGGCAGCTAGACATGGGCAACGGGTACGGGCCAGGTCGATCAGCGGGTCGCTAACCTGTCTATGCTAGTGACCCGTCCCGTCTATACATGTAACGGATCGGGTCGATTGTGACCCGTGCCGGGTCGGTCAACCCGTACTCGGGACGGGTATCAATGATCCGTTTAGGCCTTGCACCCACAGCAGCTCCCGTCTCCCTTTCGCTGCCTCCACATCCCTCTTCCAGGTGTTCAACAACCCTATCTCAGTTGTCCCCACCGAAAGGTCAGCATCTCGCAGCAGTGCGCCACATGCTGCTGTTGCTGCAGCAGAGGGGCGCGGAAGTGCACCATTCAGGGCTGCTGCTGCAGTCTTTCTCGCTCCCCCCCATTGCACCCACTGCTCTCCCTTTTCCCTGCATCTCCCCCCATTCAGGTGTTCAACAATGGCATTTCGGTCCTCCCTACTGAAGATCACCATCTCCCAGCAGAGCGGCAGATGCCCCCTTTGCTGCAGAGGGGCGTGGGGGTACACCACTCGGGGCTGCTGCTGCTGCTGCTGCTGCTGCTGCTCTCCCTGTCTTGCTCACTCCCCGTATTGCCTGCAATCCCCCTTCTTCCAGGTGTGCAACAATGCAATCTCCGTCCTTCCATCAGAGGATCAAGACATGCCAGCGCTGCGCCGCCGCTGCTGCAGAGGGGAGTGGGAGTGCACCATTCGGGGCTGCTGTTGTTGCTGCTTACTCATCCCCCTCTCCTCCCCCCCCTCCGCCTCCCTTGCTGCACCCGTCTCCCCTTGTTCCAGGTATTCAACAACGCCATATCAGTTCTCCCCACAGAAGACCAGGACCTCCCAGCAGTGCGGCAGATGCTGCCGCTGCTGCAGAGGGGCGTGGGCGTGCACCACTCGGGGCTGCTGCCCATTCTCAAGGAGCTCATAGAAATCCTCTTTCAAGAAGGGCTTCTCAAAGTGCTCTTCGCCACTGAAACTGTAAGTGCTGCTTGCTGGTCTGGTCGCGAGGCGCGTGTGAGGGGCGTGGTCATGCAGTGCACCACTCCGGGCTGCTGCCCATTCTCAAGGAGCTCATTGAAATCCTCTTCCAAGAAGGCGCGTGTTGAGGCGCGTGGGAGTGTACCACTCGGGGCTCAACTTGCCAGCACGCTTGTTTCCACGGGGCGGGAACACACAAGTGGGACGGCCAACAGAGGAACCCATCACAGAGCAACCCATCACAGAGCAACCCATCACAGAGCAACCCATCACAGCCTAACCACACCGTTCCCCACGCGCCGTCCTTATGCTGGATCACAAACAAACCCCCCTTGTCCACCCATCCCCACTCCTCTGAAACCCTCGCCATTTCACCATGGTTCTGAATTAAACATGGCAGCACGTACTGTGGTCTTGAGAGCCACGCGCAGGTGGGATGGATGGAGTAGAACGAGGCCGTGCACTCAACGCAACTCAGCCCAATGGATCGTCTCCCTTCGCATCCTCCTCATGCCAACCCCTCTCCAGTTCGCCATGGGTCTCAACATGCCGGCTCGCACCGTGGTCTTCACAGCCACGCACAAGTGGGATGGCGAGGCCAACCGGGCCATGCACTCGGGGGAGTATATCCAGGTGGGTGGGTGGATGTGACGTGATGGGTGGGGGGGGGGTTGGAGGGTTTGACCCATCTATTGAAGCATGTGAGCGTGCTTTGTATCTCCTGCCTTGCCTGCACTCCACTGTGGTCTTCACAGCCACGCACAAGTGGGATGGCGAGGCCAACCGAGCCATGCACTCGGGGGAATACATTCAGGTGGGTGGATGTGATGCAAGGGATTGGCGGGAGGGGGGAGGGGGGAGGGAGGTGGGGGGGATTTCGGCCCTCCCAAGCATGGAAGCGTGCGACGTGCGTCATTTGCGTAGCCTCGCCTGCACTCCACTGTGGTCTTCACAGCCACACACGAGTGGGATGGCGAGGCCAACCGAGCCATGCACTCAGAGGAGTATATCCAGGTCGGTATGTGTGGGTGACTGAACTCCCCCACCCCCACCGCCAACCTGTCTAGTAAAGCATGTGAGCGTTCTTTTACTCGTCACAGCCACACGCAAGTGGGGTGGGAGGCCAACCAAGCTTTGCACTCAGGGAATGCATCCAGGTGGGTGCGAGTGCGTTAGTGACCGTGTGCGTGTGTGCTTGCACGGGTGCGCGCGGCAACGCGTATGGGACCTTAATAGCTCGTCTCATAATTCGTGCTTTTGGCGCCTTAAAACCTGGTGCAGGGGATTGATCCATTCTCTAGATGTGTGTGTGTGTGTGTGTGTGTGTGTGTGTGTGTGTGTGTGTGTGTTTGTGTGTTCAACCAAACCCTAAAGCGAAACTCCAACTTGTTTTTTAGGCCCTGTCCCGTTTCCCACTTACAACCAGATGCCTTGACGAGCGGGTGGAAACAGCTTGAGGTGCCTCAAACCTTCCGCTCTCTCCCCTCCCCCCCCCCCCCCCCCCCCCCCTTCTTAAACTCCCTCCAACCCTTGTCAGATGAGTGGGCGAGCAGGGCGGCGAGGCAAGGACAGCAAAGGGATTGTCATCGTGATGGTCAATGAGGAGGTGAGGAGGGGTGATAAGGAGTGCGGTGAGGTGGGAAGGGGTGATGGGGGAGTGTTGGGAGGTGAGAAGGGGTGATGGGAGGTGGAGAACGGTGCTGTGCGTTGTCACCATGCACATGATATCTCACTGCATGCATGGTTTATACTCACCAGACATATTGGTTGACTGGACGCATGCGTTCTGTGCCTTTCGAAGCGTTTCTGAACGCGTGTGTCTCTTGAGGTGCCTGAACTGAAAGAAGCGTCTTTCTTGTGCTACACGTGGTCTGTCTGACTCCTTCCTTCGTCACACTCTCATCCCTCTCCCCCAGATGACCCTGGAGGCGTGCAACGACATGATGCTTGCTGGGGAAGCCCGCCCCTTGGATTGGAGAGCTCCTGTCCTCCTGTCCCCTGCCTGCCCTCTAAAGCACAGAATCTGTGCACTTCCGTATCTCCCTCTCCCCCAGATGACCATGGAAGCGTGTAAGGAGATGATGCTGGGGAAGCCAGCCCCCTTGGAGAGCTCGTTCCGCCTGACCTACTACGCGCTGTTGAACCTCATGGCTCGAGCGGAGGGGCAGTTCAACGCAGAGCACGTCATCGCACACTCGTTTCACCAGTTTCAGCATGACAGGGTATGTACGTGCGTGGCTCCGTATGTGTCTCACAGTATGTGTCTCACAGTATGTGTCTCACAATATGTGTCTCACAGTATGTGTCTCACAGTATGTGTCTCACAATATGTGTCTCACAGTATGTGTCTCACAGTATGTGTCTCACAGTATGTGTCTCACAGTATGTGTCTCACAGTATGTGTCTCGCAGTATGTGTCTCACAGTATGTGTCTCAGTATCTTGGTTGGTGGGTATTTGTGCAAGTGCGTGACTGTGACTGCTCACCTGCTCTCTGCACCTCGAGTGGAGGGGCAGGTCAATGCAGAGCCTCAGGTCAATGCAGAGCCTCAGGTCAATGCAGAGCCTCAGGTCAATGCAGAGCCTCAGGTCAATGCAGAGCCTCAGGTCAATGCAGAGCCTCAGGTCAATGCAGAGCCTCAGGTCAATGCAGAGCCTCAGGTCAATGCAGAGCCTCAGGTCAATGCAGAGCCTCAGGTCAATGCAGAGCCTCAGGTCAATGCAGAGCCTCAGGTCAATGCAGAGCCTCAGGTCAATGCAGAGCCTCAGGTCAATGCAGAGCCTCAGGTCAATGCAGAGCCTCAGGTCAATGCAGAGCCTCAGGTCAATGCAGAGCCTCAGGTCAATGCAGAGCCTCAGGTCAATGCAGAGCCTCAGGTCAATGCAGAGCCTCAGGTCAATGCAGAGCCTCAGGTCAATGCAGAGCCTCAGGTCAATGTGCACTCCTTCCACCAATCCCTGCACCACAGCTTACGTGCCCCAGCGTAGCAGGGGCAGCAGGTTAGTTATCAACCCCTTCCCTTCATGGCTCGACTGAGGGGCAATTTGATGGCGAACATGTTGTCGCCCACCAGTTGAATGGCGAACATGTCGTCGCCCACCAGTTGAATGGCGAACATGTCGTCGCCCACCAGTTGAATGGCGAACATGTCGTCGCCCACCAGTTGAATGGCGAACATGTCGTCGCCCACCAGTTGAATGGCGAACATGTCATCGCCCACCAGTTGAATGGCGAACATGTCGTCGCCCACCAGTTGAATGGCGAACATGTCGTCGCCCACCAGTTGAATGGCGAACATGTCGTCGCCCACCAGTTGAATGGCGAACATGTCGTCGCCCACCAGTTGAATGGCGAACATGTCGTCGCCCACCAGTTGAATGGCGAACATGTCGTCGCCCACCAGTTGAATGGCGAACATGTCGTCGCCCACCAGGTGAATGGCGAACATGTCGTCGCCCACTCCAATCCTTCCACCAGTTTCAAAACCACAGGGTACGTGCTTGTGTTTATGTGTGTGTGTGTGTGTGTGTGTGTGTGTGTGTGTGTGTGTGTGTGTGTGCGTGCGCATGTGTGCCCAAGTGCATGCCGAGCACGCATGTGTGTGTGTTTGTGTTAGGATGAGCAGAGGATCAAGCGCCCACGGGCAAAATATGGGGGCTCCATTTTATTTATGTTTGTCTCTTTTTATCTCTCAACCCCTTCCCTTTCCTTGAATCTCCACAGCAAGTACCAGAGCTGGAGAAGAGGACCAAGCAGCTACACGCAGAGGCAGATGCTTTTTGAGGCGCCTTTAGAATAGTCATCTCATCTCCCTGCATTCTTCCACATCCATTCTCTTCCCCTCGCTTTCGCCACCAGCATGTACCAGAGGTGGAGAAGAGGATTAAGCAGCTGCAGGCAGAGGTGGTGGACTCCTTACATACTGTTTTCCTTTCTTCGTTCTCACCCTCTCCCCCCACCCTCTTCCCCTGTCTCTTGATATCCTGCAGCAAGTACCAGAGGTGGAGAAGAGGATCTAGCAGCTACACGCAGAGGCAGATGCTTTTTGAGGTGCCTTTAGAATAGTCATCTCATCTCCCTGCATTCTTCCACATCCCTTCTCTTTCCCTTTCTTGTCCCCCTCCAGCAAGTACCAGAGGTGGAGAAGAGGATCAAGCAGCTGCAGGCAGAGGCCGATGCGCTGGAAGCTGGGACTGAGGTGAGACCTTGGGAGATGGAGGGAGGAGGAGAATGGGAGGAGAGAGGAGTGAGGGTGGGAAACGTGAGGGAAGAAAGAAGAGCCAGCACAGGAGGAGTTTAATCACAGAGGAGTAGAATCTGTGATCGTGCCACACTCTGCGCGCGCCTGTTGCTTCTGAGAATTTTTAATTAGGAAAAGGCGAGTAGCCACCCTGCAAACCGATGTCGTCACCTTGCCCACGCACATGCTAAGGGGCCTGGAATAAGTGTTCTAATCTACACAAGCTCAGAAGCTCCTCCCCCCTGCTACCCTTGTTGATGGCAGGACGAGATTCGCGAGTACCACGCGCTGCGCCTGTCCCTGGTGGAGAAGGAGAGGCGGCTCAAAGCAGAGGTGCTGCGGCCTGATCGATGCCTGCACTTCCTGCAGCCGGGGAGACTGGTGAGCGTGTCCGGGTTAACTGACAGGGTAGTGAGCAGGGTGGTGAGCAGGCTGGTGAGAGCTTGGCTGGTGCATGAGAGGCGGCCCAAAGCAGAGGTGCTGCAGCCTGATCGATGCCTGCACTTCCTGCAACCGGGTAGGCTGGTGAGCATGGGGCAGGGCAGGCTGGTGTGAGTGTTTGATGAATGGAGTTTGTAGGTTACTCGTGAGTGCTTGATTGAAGGAGAGGCGGCTCAAGGCGGAGGTGCTGCGCCCTGACAGATGCCTGCATTTTCTGCTGGACGCTTGCATTTTCTGCTGGACACCTGCATTTTCTGCTGGACGCCTGCATTGTCTGTAGCCGGGCCAGGCAGCTGGTGAAGATGCAATCGTTGGGGCACGTATGAATGCATGCATGGATAGAAGGATCCAATCCATGCGTTTATGAAGAAGGCCTCTCAAAGCAACACCTCCTCCGCTCTCATCGCCCCTCATTTGCATTAACTCTTCACCCATTTATCCATTTCCCAACCCCCTTTTTTTTTGCCCTGTTCTTTGCAGATCCGAGTGGTGGATGGGTTGGACGATTGGGGGTGGGGAGTGATCGTGAACGTGATGCAGCAGCCCTCTCAAAGCCACACTTCCTCGGCTCTCATCAACTCCTCATGCCACTCACTCATTCCTTCCCTCTCCCCTTTACCCACTCCTTGCCCTTGACTCTCCTGCAGATCCGAGTGGTGGATGGTTTGGACGACTGGGGGTGGGGGGTGATCGTGAACGGGATGCAGCAGCCCTCTCAAAGAAACACCTCTTCGGCTCTCATCGCCCCCTCGTGTCACTCATTCCTCACCCCTGTGTCCATACTCTGACCATTATCACTCATTCCCTTGCAGATCGAGTTCTGGATGGGCTGGACGACTGGGGGTGGGGGTGATCGTCAACGTGATGAAGCCCTCAGCACCTCCTCTGCTTTCATCGCCTCTCCCCTTTGCCCACTCCGTGACCTTAACTCTCCTGCAGATCCGGGTGGTGGATGGGCTGGACGACTGGGGGTGGGGAGTTATCGTGAACGTGATGCAGCAGCCCTCTCAAAGCAATACCTCATGTCACTCATACTTCTCCTCGCCCCTTCACCCACTCCGTGCCCTTGGCTCTCCTGCACATCCGACTGGTGGACGGGCTGGACGATTGGGGGCGGGGAGTGTTAGTCACCGTGATGAAGCAGCCCTCTGAGAGCAACACCAATTCTGCCATCATTGCCCCCTCTCCCACCGCCTCTTCTCCCTCTGTTCCTGTCAAAACCCTTTATTCTCCTGCAGATCCGGGTGGTGGATGGGCTGGACGACTGGGGGTGGGGGGTGATCGTGAACGTGATGAAGCAGCCCTCTCAGAGCAACACCAAATCAGCCGTCATCGCCCCCTCGCCCACAGCCTCTGCTGCCGCCGCTGCACCGCTCTCCACCACGGCATACCTGGTGGACACGCTGCTGCTGTGCTCGCCCGCGGTGGACAGTGGAGGAGCGGACGGCTCCACTGCCCAACTTGTGCCACGCCCGTGCGCCCTGGACGGGAACGGGGACATGCACGTGGTGAGTGGGTGGCTTGTGCGTGCCTTCTTGCCGCTGCTTTTCTCTCTCTCCTTCCCAATCTGATCCACCGCTCTCCACCACGGCATACCTGGTGGACACGCTGCTGCTGTGCTCTCCCGCGGTGGCGGACGAGAGAAAAGCGGATAAAGGAGGGGTCGGCTCCACTGCTCAGCTTGTGTCGCGCCGGTGCGCGCTGGAAGGCAACGGGGAGATGCACGTGGTGAGTGAATGGTTTCGTCCCTCTCCCCCTCCCTCTCCCTCCCTCCTCTCTCCTTCCCTCCCTTCAACTGGCACTCCTCTACTGCTGCTGCTGCTGCTACTGCTGCCACTGCACCGCTCTCCACCACGGCATGCCTGGTGGTCACGCTGCTGCTGTGCTCTCCCGCGGTGGTGGATGGAGGAGGGGAGGGCTCCACTGCTCAGCTTGTGCTGCGCCCATGCGCGCTGGAAGGGCGGGGAGATGCACGCACGTGGTGAGTGAGTGGCTTGTGTGTGCTGTGGTGTGGAATGCCTTCTCGCCGCTGCTTCTCTCTCTCCTTCCCCATCTGCTGTACCGCTCTCCACCACGGCACTGCACTGCTCGCCAGCACCGCTGCACCGCTGGCCACTTCGGCATATCTGGTCTGGTGGACACGCTGCTGCTGTGCTCTCCTGCGCTGGCTTGTGCTTGGCTTCGTCCCTCACTCGTAAGATATCTCCTCTCTCCTCCCTCACTCGTAAGATATCTCCTCTCTCCCTCAGACGTAAGATATCTCATCTCTCTCCTTCAGACTTGAATGAGCGCCTTCCTTTCGTACGTGACTGGGCCTTTCTCTGCCCTGTCCTCATTCTCTTCACTCATCCCTCCTATTTCCCTCCCCTCCCCTCCTTTCCTCCCTCCCTCCCGACTACTCCATATCCAAGTCAAGCTCCCAGCAGTGCCGCGCATAGGAGCGCTCAGAATCGCCCTGCCTATGCGCTCAGAATCGCCCTGCCTATGCGCTCAGAATCGCCCTGCCTATGCGCTCAGAATCGCCCTGCGCACGGATCTTCGGCCCAAGGAGGCCCGGCAGGCCGTGCTGGTGACGCTCAGAGTCATGCATGAGCCATTCCTCCTCCTCCCTCTCCAACCCCTCCACACATCCCACTCAAGTTACCTACCAGCCGTCGCCAGAATGGGGGCGCTCAGAATCGCCCGGCCGACGGATCTTCGCCCCAAGGAGGCCCGGTAGGCAGGTTGTGGTCCCAAGCTCAGGGCCGTGACTCATCTTCTCTCCCCTGCTCCCCTTCTCGCCATCCTTCCCCTCCAGATCCCTGTAAAGCTCCCAGCAGTTGCCAGAATAGGGGCGCTCAGGATTGCTCTCCCCACGGATCTTCGCCCCAAGGAGGCCCGCCAGGCCGTGCTGGTCACACTCAGGGACGTCACCCAGCGGTTCCCTGACGGGCTGCCGATTCTAGATCCGGTGGAGGTGAGTGAGTGAGGGAGTAAGTGGGTGGATGAGTTGGTGAGGGAGTGAGAAAATGAGTGGATGAGTTGGCTGTTTTAGACACCCCAGATCGATCAAGGGCCGGCAGGCCGTGCTGGTCACACTCAGGGACGTCACCCAGCGGTTTCCTGATGGGCTGCCCATTCTAGACCGTGTGGAGGTGCGAGAGTGAGCCATCTGAAACGCAAGACGAGCTAGAGGCAGTTCCCTAAAGCGCGTCTCATATGCTCTTTGCCCTGCCCACGGACCTTCGCCCCAAGAGGCCCGGCAGGCCGTGCTGGTCACGCTGAGGGACGCCACCCAGCGCTTCCCTGACGGGCTGCCATTCTAGACCAGACCCTGTGGAGGTGAGTTATGGAGGGAGGAAGAAGGAAGGGAATGAATGTATGTGGGCACCTTCACCCCAAACCAAGGAGGCCAGGCAGGTCGTGCTGCTGGCACAGAGGGACATCACCCAGCGGTTCCCTGATGGGCTGCCCATTCTAGACCGTGTGGAGGTGCGAGAGTGGAAGGATGGCGGGAGGGAGTGACTGGATGGGCTATTTGAGGCATCTTTCATCTAAGGAGGGCCGGCAGGCCGTGCTGGTGACACTGAGGGACGCCACCCAGCGCTTCCCCGACGGGCTGCCGATTCTAGACCCTGTGGAGGTAAGTGAGGTGAGTGAGTGAGGTAGTGAGTAAGTGAGTGGGCTGGCTGTTGGAGGCATCTCAAATCAACCAGAGGCCAGGCAGTGCTGGTGACACTGAGGGACGCCACCCGGCGATTCCCTGACATCACACTGAGTGTTTGAGACATCTAAAATCTGTCTCCATCTGTCACCCTTTGGCCATCTCTCCCGCCATGTCAGGACATGGGCATCACGGACGAGTCGTTTCTGGACTTGGTCCACTCCATTGACCAGGAGGAGAGCAAGCTGGCCACGCATCCCCTTTTCAAGGTGCTTCACTAGCAGATCAGGTTACACTAACAGGTTAGGCCGTTACACTTGTGGAGTCAGCCAAGTGAATGACACTGCACAGTGCATTAAACTGTGAATTGCAATTAGGTTACATACACTAACAGGATCCGTGAATTGCATTGCACTGTGCACAAGCTGAAGAGGTGAACCCCCCCACCTCCCCACCCCCTCACGGTGTCTTTTGAGTTGACTCAAAGCACACTTGCAATCAGGTCACACTAACAGCTTCCGTGAGTTGGATTGCATTGCACTGTGCACCGGCTGAAGAGGTAAACATCCGCCCCCCCCCTCCCCACCTCCTCTCACCCCCTCTCACCCCCTCTCACCCCCCTGCCCCCATCCTCTCTCTTCCACTCCCCTTCCATTCTCCCCTTTCAGGCGGAGATAGCAGAGCAGAAGCTGGAGGTGCTCAAGAGGCGAGGGCAGCTGCTGGCAGAGGCACAGCGGCTCAAGATGAAGACAAGGGAGTCACAGGTGCGTGCGGAGGAGTGATGAGTGGTAAGAAGGGGTGTGGTGTGGCGCCTTGTTGAGCTTCTCTGACCAGCAGCTGCTGGCAGAGGCACAGCAGCTCAAGATGAAGTCGAGGGAGTCCCAGGACCATGTGGAGGAGTCCCAGGACCATGTGGAGGAGTCCCAGGACCATGTGGAGGAGTCCCAGGACCATGTGGAGGAGTCCCAGGACCATGTGGAGGAGTCCCAGGACCATGTGGAGGAGTCCCAGGACCATGTGGAGGAGTCCCAGGACCATGTGGAGGAGTCCCAGGACCATGTGGAGGAGTCCCAGGACCATGTGGAGGAGTCCCAGGACCATGTGGAGGAGTCCCAGGACCATGTGGAGGAGTCCCAGGACCATGTGGAGGAGTCCCAGGACCATGTGGAGGAGTCCCAGGACCATGTGGAGGAGTCCCAGGACCATGTGGAGGAGTCCCAGGACCATGTGGAGGAGTCCCAGGACCATGTGGAGGAGTCCCAGGACCATGTGGAGGAGTCCCAGGACCATGTGGAGGAGTCCCAGGACCATGTGGAGGAGTGTGATGTGGCGGGAAAGTGTGTGATGTGGTTAGCTGCTCCTACCAGCCTCTGTTGGCAGAGGCACAGCGGCTCAAGCCGAAAACGAGGGAGGTGTGTGTGGAGGAGTGATGTGCGGTGGGCACGTCTGTGATGTCGGGAGGAGTTCACAACGGATTTGAGAAGGGAGTTGATAGGGGAGTGCTTGTGAATGGTTCTCTTCACCTTGTCCCGCCCTTTTTTTCTCCCGCCCTTTTTTTCTCCCACCCTTTTTTTCTCCCACCCTGTCCTTTCCTCCTCCCTGGCTCTCTCTCTTTCTCTCTCCAAATCCGAGCTCTGGAACCACTCTCAATCTCTGTAGCGCCTGGGCCACATTGACTCAGACTGGGTGGTGCAGCTCAAGGGGTCCTCATCTCCCCTCCCCCCTCCCCTCCTATCTCCCCATGCCCCACCCACCCATCCTCCTCGCCTGTTTCCTTCCCTGCCTGTTCCCTCCTCCACCCAGCTCTCGCTCTTCAAGTCTGAACTCGGGAATCAATCGCCGTGTGTGCTCAAACGCCGTGGCCACATCGCTGCACACGGGGTGGTGCAGTGCAGCTCAAGGGGCGGGCGGCGTGCGTCAGTTCCTCATACATGCTCAATCATCCCACCTCCCCCTCTCCTGCCTCTCTTCCCCTGCAGCTTTCGCTGTTCAAATCCGAGCTGAGGAACCGCTCACGGGTACTCAAGCGGCTGGGCCACATCGACGCAGATGGGGTGGTGCAGCTCAAGGGCCGGGCGGCGTGTGTCGTCACGACAGGCGATGAGCTGCTGGTGACGGAGCTGATGCTGGAGGGGGCTTTCAATTCCATGGACCCGCACCAGTTGGTTGCTGTTGCCAGCTGCTTCTTGCCTTCCGAAAAGTCAAATGAGGAGCAGGTGAGTGTGCTTCAGGCCAGACCATGCGGATCAGATGAGTGCTTTTCAGCCCAGCCCCTCAAAAGCTGGGTATTGAGCCCTTTTTTGGCCTAAGTTTGGAGGCCATTGCATGGGATATCTGAAGCCCTCGACAGGCGATGAGCTGCTGGTGAGGGAGCCGATGCTAGAGGGAGCTTTTCATTCCATGGACCCCCACCAGCTCGTGGCCGTGGCCAGCTGCTTTTTGCCTTCAGAGAAATCCAACGAGGAGCAGGTGACGGAGGGAGGTTATTCCTCGGGCCGTGAGTAAAAAGTGAGTGTTTTCAGCCCCTAAAAAACTGGGAATTGAGCCCTTGTTTGTTTTAAGTTTGCGTCCATGTGAGGCGATGAGCTGATGCTGGAGGGGGCTTTGAACTCCATGGACCCCACCAGCTGCTTCCTGTTGCCAGCTGCTTCCTGTTGCCAGCTGCTTCCTGTTGCCAGCTGCTTCCTGTTGCCAGCTGCTTCCTGTTGCCAGCTGCTTCCTGCCCTCTGAGAAGGCCAACGAGGAGCAGGTGAGCAAACGATCCTTTGTCTGGTCCATCAGGAACAAGTGAGGAGGTGTTCAACTCCATGCACCCCTACTTGCTGGTTGCCGTGGCTAGCTGCTTCTTTCCCTCTGAGAAGTCCAACAAGAAGCAGGTGAGTGAGTGGGTAAGTGAATGAGTGAGTGAGTGAGTGAGTGAGTGAGTGAGTGAGTGAATGAACGAGTGAAGGAGTGAGTGAGTGAAGGAGTGAGTGAGTGAAGGAATGAGGGAGTGAATGATCCTCCTTCAGTTCAAGCTATGAGGAATGGTGAGTGAGCCTTGTTCTGGCTGGCTTTGGGTTCACCCTTGTTGCTCTCTTACCCCATCCCCTCTTCCTCCTTCTCTCCCTCCCTACAGCCTGTGGCAGCTGACTTAAAGCCGCATTACAATGTTCTGAGGGACGCAGCACAGCACATAGCTGAAGTGAAGCTCTGTGGTTCCCCCCCTTCCATCTCTGCACCTCTACCCTCCCTCCCTGCAGCCTGTGGCAGCGGACTTAAAGCCGCATTACAATGTCCTAAGGGAAGCAGCGCAGCATATAGCACGGGTGCAGATTGAAGAGAAGATAGAGGTGGACGAGGAGGAGTACGTGGATCAATTCCGGCCGACGCTCATGAGCGTGTTCTACCAGTGGTCCAAGGTGAGGGGTTCAGTTTGGTACGGAGGTAAAAAGGAAGAATTTGGTGCGGTACTGAGGTGGTCACGTGCAAATAGAGGAGAAGATAGAGGTGGACGAGGAGTATGTGGATCAATATCGGCCGACGCTCATGAAGATGTTTTAACAGTGGTCCAAAATGAGGGGTCGATTGCGGTGCGGAGGTGTAGAGGAGAGGTGTACTGCGGTCCCCAAAGAGAAAGAGGAGAAGAAAGAGGTGGACAAAGGGTACGTGGATCAATCCGGCCAACACTCATGAACGTGCTCCATCAGTGGTCCAAGGTGAAGGTGATGGGATGAGGGATGATTAACGAGAGGATGAAGGGACGAGGAACAAACACTACAGGCTCTTCTTATGGTTGAGTTCGCTTCTTTCACTTCTTCTGTTTCTCTGTGCCGTCAAAATGGGCTTCTTGGTTTGTTGCTTGGAGTGCAGGGAGAGTCATTTGGCAAGGTCATAGACAGCACGGATGTGTTTGAGGGGACGATTGTGCGTGTGGCTCGACGGCTCGATGAGCTTCTAAACGAGGTATAATTTTGTGGTAGTTATATTGCAAGTACTAGTATTGGCGCACTCTGGACTCGTGCCTGATCTTCCTGCTATTGCTTTGAAATCTATGTATGTTCATTCTTTTTTCCTCTACGTGCAGATGAAACTGGCAGCTCAAGCCATTGGAGAGCAAGCTCTTGTAGATAAGTTTACCAAGGCTAGTGAGAGCATTCGCAGAGGCATTATGTTTGCCAATTCGTTGTATGTTGAGTGACGTGGTCAGATCAGATGGACATTGCACAATGTAATATACATGTGTGGAAAAATCTGCCCTTAACGTTGAAGTTGCTAATCTCACCAAATTGTGCGATTTGGTTGGGTGGTGCCGACAATTTGAGTTGTGGGCTATTGTGGTGTGGGTGGGCTTGACGAAATGTTTTACTTACCGTACCTCACTAGGTTAGGGCTTCGCCACCAATCGTATGCAAAAACATCACGACCTTTTTGGTTCTCCTCGACCTGAATTGTTTAAATCAGACGGTTCCAAACTCCTCATAGCTCGAAATTAATGGAGTCATCCGAGCATTCTGACCGCGGGCAGAAAAAACCTAAAACCCGCGCTCAGAAGGAATGCATTTGCGATGCCTCAACCCAACACCATGAGGCAAGGTGTATGCTTGCATTGCATTTCATGTATCACGGTTTTGAAGCGTTCTGTACGCACGCTGGGAATCTTTTGAACGTACCGTATACTCCCGGACAAAACACCCTCCCATAATTGTACACCCCCGGGTAGCTTGTGCGGGGTGGGTGTTATGATAGACCTCGTTTCTACTATACCCCCCTTTTTGGCTGATTTTCTATAACGCCCCCCCTTTTCTTACGGATTCATTATTATTGTCGTTAACGAGTAGCTGCAATACGGAAGAATGTCGTGTGAATTTCTCCCTCAATGAAATTTCGCGGTACATTCAAAGGCAATCTGCCGAGATTTGCCCCCTCCCACTATTTCTCTGTCGCCACGTGCAGGTGAATCTTCCGTTGCAAGTGGCAAGAGAGGTGCCACATGCCATTTTCGTGGGGGCGATGAAGTTCGAGGCCGAAACTCACATTCGCGCCTCAGGCAGTGATGCTAAAACGACCAGCAAAACACCCACATTGACTAATTAAAAAAACACTAACACTAAGATATGCCATATGTAAAGACCCGGGTATTATGTATTTTTTTCCTATGAGGAGACCCCCCCCATTTTTTCCCTGTATTTTTAGCTATACCCTAGGGTGTTATGTCCGGGAGAATACGGTATGATGTGAGTCTTTTGAATGTATTGAGTCCCTAGCATATGTACTGTACTCTCGAACGCCACGTAACGCATGACTGGCGACAACACCTCGCTGCCATAATTGACCACCATCTTCCAACTGAGTAGTCCGAGACATGCGATGCGCTCGGTCTAGGTGTCGAAACTTCCTGGAGTCGTCCCCTCATGTGAGAATAAGAACGAGAAATGACTAGAAACAGGGCAGTACAAGGTGTGTATAGGCAAAACCTAACAATACTGTACCCCATAAGGAGTGACCCACTACAGCCTACAATATGGTTCTGACACACCCCCATAAGCAAAGTGGGGGACAAGCAAGAGAACAAGGCAAGGTCAAGCTCAGGGTGGATCACAACGTCACCACACATTCTGAGCACAAGTTCAAGGCCACAAGGCCAGTTCACATGCAGGATTATAAATCAAGGTGAACAAGCAAGACAGTGATCTCAACCTAGCAAGGGTAAGCATGCAGATGCAGGTATATATAGATCACAGTACAAGCAAAGTCAAGAGGTAAGCAAGTGAGGCCCGGTAGGCACAAGACCTAGCATAGTACAGAAACGCTGATGATTACAAGGCTGAAGTGTCTTGGTAAAGATATCAGCAGTGTTGGCCCGAGAGGCCACGAAAGCAAGACAAAGCTGACCACGCTGCTGCAACTCTCGAGCAAGGAAGTAGCGCAGAGCAATGTGCTTCGTTCTGTGCTCCAGTCTGTGCTCCTGATACAAGGCCAGCACGGCCTTGTTGTCGACGTACAGAACTGGAGGAGAACGAGGCGCCTCTCCCAAGTCGGTCAGCAGGTAGGTGAGCCAGCGTAACTCCTATGCAGCCATGGCCCCAATGTAGATCTCAGCCTCACAACTGGAGCTGAGAACAGAGGACGAGCGGGTAGACCGCCACGAAACAGAGCCGGAACCAAGGCTGAAGGTGTAACCCTGTGACGACCGCTGCGTAGCCAAGTCGTCAACCCAAGAAGCGTCTGCGTGACCAGTGAGGACAACTCGAGCCCGTCCTCCAAGCACGAGCCCCATGCCCGACGTACTGCACAGGTAGCGCAACGCCCTCGTAGCTGCAGCCATGTGCTCTGGTCGGTGTCTCCCAGGAGCAACATAACGTGCCAAGATGCTAAGAGGATATGCCAGGTCAGGTCGAGTGCAGGTCATTAGGTACATGAGGCAGCCAACAAGCTCTGGGTACGGGCCACTCGGCTCTACGGACTCATCCGAAGGCAGAGCTGAGAGCGAGTGGCGAGTAGACAGAGGAGTGGCCTGAGGCGAGGAGTTCGTGAAGTTGAAGCGCTGAAGGACCTGCTGCACCATGTGTGACTGAGTCAAGGTAATGGTGCGCCGTGCTCTGTCCCGGGTGATCTGCAAGCCAAGATAGCTGCGCAGTTCACCCAGGTCTGTGCACGTGTGTCTCTTCTGCAGCTCCGACTTCACGTGGGCGACTCCCTCAGTGTCAGCCGTGGCAAAAAACAAGTCGTCGACGCACATGAGGAGCAAACCCAAGAGCCGCAAGCGTAGTCCTCAGTGTGTCGTGCCACTCACGGGGCGCTTGGCAGAGATTGTAGACTGCCCGCCGGAGGCTTCACTGGGTACCAGGAGCAAACGACCCAGTGAAGCCAGGTGGGCGGCGCAGCCAGATCTCCTCGTGCAGGCTGCCCTGTAGGAAAGCAGTGCTGAAGTCAAGAGAGTGGAGCTCGTAGTCACGTTGAGCAGCGACGTGCAGCAGAACCCGAAGAGTGGTCATCTTCGGGGTCGGGGAGAAGGTCTAGAAGAAGTCAACTCCCTGTCGCTGACTGAAGCCTCGAGCAAAGTAACGCGCCTTGAAGACAGGCGGAGAACCCGGCGGCCGCTTCACCCTGAAAATCCACATGCCACTGACGATGTTCGCCCCAGGAGGGGGAACCTCGTCGACGTAGGTGCCTGTGGCCTGTGGACTTCAAGGATGCCATCTGTGCGTCCATGGCTGATTGCCACTGAGAGGAGTAGGGACCCTCTATCACCTCTGCGAAAGAGCGCGGGGTCGGGATGTCTGGTGCATCAGAGTCTCCCTCAGGTGCAATCAGCATGGACGCGAGATGAGGTACAGCGGCTGCAAAGCACTCAAAGTCCTCCTGCCTGTCCGCAAGGACGTCCGTGCCAAGAGCACACTCACCCCCGACGGACGGAGGACAGACAGACTCAGACTCAGCAACAAGACTCGCGGCGTAGTCTAGACGACAGTGAGCAGCAAAGTCAACAATCTCAGCAACTAAGGCAGACGCAGCAGTGGACTCAAAGGAAGGGTCAGTGACAACAGTGGCCAGGAGACGCGTGACAATAGGACTAGCAGCACGAAGGGAGTCAGACTCCGGGTCAGAAAGGGCAGGAAGAGCGGACGCAGGAGGAGACGGCAGAGGGACACGCTGCGGAGCAGTGGAAGGGCGCAGAGCCATCCAGTGCGTGCCAGGAACACGAGGAGGACCCTGACGCGAGCCACGACGACTAGTGCGAGCAGCACGAACAAGCGACGCAGGACGAGACGCAGGCTCACGACGCTCAGCAAGACCTCCAGTCGGACCAGTGTAAGGAGAAGGAGCAGGCAGTGGGGAGGCGGGCTGCAACTGTGACTGCGACTGGACAGGCAGTGGACACGCTAAGGAAGGAGCAGGACCAGTAGAAGGCGGAAGACCAAGAACCTGCTGAAGGAGCGGAACGTAGTACGGAAGCGGCCGCACAGCGCCTCCAGAACCAGCAGGGACAACACCAGCACCCCGAGCGGGAGCTCGAACTCCAGCAGCACCACCAGCTCCAGCAGCACCTCCAGCTGCTCCAGTAGCGCCAACTCCAGCACCCACAGGAGCACCGGCTCCAGCAGCACCTCCAGCTCAAGCACCTCCAGGAGCTCCAGCTCCAGAAGCACCACCAGGCCCAGCAGCTCCAGTACCTCCAGTACGAGCACCTCCGGGACCCGTGGCTCCAGAACCCCCAGCGGCTCCAGCAGCAGCAAGACCTCCCGCAGCAGCAGGACCTCCAGCGCCCGCTGCATCACCAGCTCTAGCAACACGGCTCCAGCGCTGAGCAAACCACTCGCCCAGCTGATGTGGAGAGAGTGGCTCCCGACGGGACGAAGCACCCGAAGGACCGCCAGGCTCAGCACCTCCAGCCTCCACACGCGCAGGCTCAGCACCCTCAGGCTCCGCACCCCCAGACTCAGCAACTCGAGGCTCAGCACCCCCAGTCTCAGCACCCCCAGACTCAGCAACCCCATTTTTCTGTGGAGAGGCCGGAAGCATGAACATCTGGCGGATGCCCTCCGCACGACAGAAGGCTCGCAGAAGGTTGGAGGAAAACTCTCCACCTCTGTCGGAGTGCAGACGCAGAATAGGAAGGTCCGAGCCGAAGCTCTCGCTGAGGTGACGACGAGCAGCATGGATCCAGTCGATCAGCACCTCAGTGACCTCACCCTTGCGGCGCAAGGGGAAGACTGTGGTCTAACGCAAGTAGTCGTCAACGACGAGCAGAAAGTAGTGCTCGTGACCCTGTACACGGACGCGGGCTGGGCCCCACACGTCCATGTGAAGAGTCTGCAAGGGAGCCTCCGTCGTAGGGAACTCGGACGAGTGAGGAGCGGCGCGCTGCCGCCCCTCGACGCAAGGAACGCAGGTAGGGGCAGGTCCCGGGGGGAGGGGAGGGAGAGACCGGGGAAGACCAGTGACAAGGACACGGGAGGCCA